GTAAACATCAGACATGAAGCAGTAAACATCAGACATGAAGCAGTAAACATCAGACATGAAGCAGTAAACATCAGACATGAAGCAGTAAACATCAGACATGAAGCAGTAAACATCAGAGACATGAAGCAGTAAACATCAGAGACATGAAGCAGTAAACATCAGACATGAAGCAGTAAACATCAGAGACATGAAGCAGTAAACCTCAGACATGAAGCAGTAAACCTCAGAGACATGAAGCAGTAAACATCAGAGACATGAAGCAGTAAACATCAGAGACATGAAGCAGTAAACATCAGAGACATGAAGCAGTAAACATCAGAGACATGACACATCCTGTCCTGGTGTCGTACTTCCTGTGCTTCATTCTGTGCTACAGTTTAAACAACATTCAGCTCCTCATGTTTGAGTCCTTTCTGCTCTGCACGTCTACATGTGGTTCCGGTTCATCCACGTCTCAAACCACAGGACGTCCTGTCCAATAAGTTCCACAAAAACAGGCTTTTAATTTGAAAAACCAGAGCCTTGCTGCTCATAAACCCTCAGAATCCAGAAAAACGTCAGATTTATAAGAACCGTTTTATTTTACTGACTGAAGACTTCCTGACCCCAGACCAGGTCCCTGTGGACCCAGAGACATCACAACAGGAAGTATTTCTGCTGAAAAGATCTGCTTCAAACTTCACGACTCTTCATTTAAAACAAACTTTATTTAAAAAAGACATTTTAACAATACAGAACACTAACAGGACAGACTACAGAACAAGACTGGATCAGATGGGTTCAAACAGGAAGTGTAGATCCAAACGTCTCGTCCCCATGAGCGCCGAAAACACCTGTCTTCATACACAACCTTCACTGATCTGCAGCTCTTATTCTGACAGGACTCCTGCAGGATGTGACCCTGCGGCAGCTCTTATTCTGACAGGGCTCCTGCAGGAAGTGACCCTGCAGCAGCTCTTATTCTGACAGGACTCCTGCAGGATGTGACCCGGCAGCTCTTATTCTGACAGGACTCCTGCAGGATGTGACCCGGCAGCTCTTATTCTGACAGGACTCCTGCAGGATGTGACCCTGCGACAGCTCTTATTCTGACAGGACTCCTGCAGGATGTGACCCTGCGACAGCTCTTATTCTGACAGGACTCCTGCAGGAAGTGACCCTGCGACAGCTCTTATTCTGACAGGAATCCTGCAGGAAGTGACCCTGCGGCAGCTCTTATTCTGACAGGACTCCTGCAGGATGTGACCCTGCAGCAGCTCTTATTCTGACAGGACTCCTGCAGGATGTGACCCGGCAGCTTCTGCTGAACAACTGAAAGATTTCTGAGAATCTTCACACATTATATTTTATAAAATTCACTTCAAGTGGGACACGACAAACTCACATTCTGAGATGAAACTCTCTCAGGGTCCAGGCTACCTGGTCTCAGGGTCTGGGTCCAGGCTCCCTGGTCTCAGGGTCTGGGTCCAGGAACCCTGGCCCGTGAGAGCTTCTCATGTGGGTCACCAAGTTGCTGTTCTGACTGAATCTTTTCCCACACGTTTTACAGGAGTAAGGTTTTTCCCCCGTGTGCGTCCGAATGTGATGCAGTAGGCTGGTACTGGACCTGAAACTCTTCCCACACAGGTTGCATGAGTACGGCCTCTCTCCGGTGTGAGTCCTTGTGTGAACGGTTAAAGCTCCTCTCTGAACAAAACGTTTCCCACACACTCCACAACAGTAGGGTTTCTCACCTGTGTGGATCCTCATGTGATCGGTCAAACTGTTGCTCTGGCTGAAACTTTTCTGACAGATGCTGCAGGAAAACGGTTTCTCTCCCGTGTGAGTTCTCATGTGACGCATCAAATGACTGTTCAGTCCAAACCTGTCCCCGCAGATCTGACAGGAGTATGGTCTCTCCCCCGTGTGAGTTATCATGTGACGCATCAAGCTGTCGCGCCGACGGAAACCTTTCAAGCATGTTTGACAGGAGTATGGTCTCTCTGCTTCATGAGTTTTCTGGTGAAAATTAAGTAACGACAAGTCGAAGAATATTTTTCCACAAGTGCTGCAAACGTAGGGTTTTATTTCTTCCACATCCAAACCTGGTTCTTCTTTGAAAGGAGGTGAAGCAGAGAAGATCCGGGTGCTGGTTGGTTCTGATCCACTGTCGTCACTCTCTTCATAGTTCACAGTCACCATGAAAATATCCCTCTCCTCCTTCAGAACCAGCTGCTCCTCATCCAGAGAGCTGCAGAGGTTCTCCTGGTCCTCCATGAGCTGTGGAGGTTCCTGCTCCTCTTCAAGAACCAAACTGGACTTCCTGTCCTGCTCACAGAGCTGCTGGTCCGTCCCAGCAGGGTCCTCCTCAGGGACATGTTGATGTGGGTCTGAGAGAACCAGAGATCCACCAAGTCGTTATTACTCTGATCAGACGAAAATTCATCCATCCATCCAACCATCCATCAAACCAACCAATCATCCATCCATCCATCCATCAAACCAACCAATCATCCATCCATCCATCCATTCATTCATCCAACCAATCATCCATCCATCCATCCAACCAACCAATCATCCATCCATCCATCCATCAAACCAACCAATCATCCATCCATCAAACCAACCATCCATCCATCCATCCATCCATCAAACCAACCAATCATCCATCCATCCATCAAACCAACCATCCATCCATCAAACCAACCAATCATCCATCCATCCATCAAACCAACCAATCATCCATCCATCCATCCATCAAACCAACCAATCATCCATCCATCAAACCAACCATCCATCCATCCATCAAACCAACCAATCATCCATCCATCCATCAAACCAACCAATCATCCATCCATCCATCCATCCATCCATCAAACCAACCAATCATCC